GTTGGCTAATTGAACAAGTTTATTCTTGAACAATCCTTTCAGATAGAAATTGTGATAATTAAACATGGCTTCAAAAAACAAGAGTCAAATTTAATAGCTGCTGCAAGTATGTATACTGCACATTTTAAGTTTATTTACTTTTCAGAGAAAACCATAATTCATTTAAGCCTCTTTTGAGATACTGTAACAAAGCATGTGTGTATCACAAACATGACTGTAGATTTTTAAAAGTCATAGCACATTATTAAACACTATCTTTTTTTAATTAAGTTCTTTTCACTAAACACAAGCTTGGGAAATGAAAATCCTATTACACCACACTTATGGTTTTCAGGTTCGGAAAATCTACTTGGACAAAGAGTATGCCAAGGTCCATCTGGTCCGACCGTTTACCTGTACCAACCCCAAGATGACCCAGTGTGAGTTCTACACCTGGCTCCGGATGGACATGATGAACGTGGTGCCACTGTACGAGATCTATCCTATCAAAGACGAGGGGCTTAATTACCTGGAACCCATTGCTAAAGCCATAGACAGTGCCAGGTATATACTGCTAGATAGTGTGTGTGTGTGTGTGTGCATGCACGCGCGCGTGAGCATATGCTAGTGTGTGTGTGGGCCATTATATGAGATCTAACCCATCAAAGATGAGGGAATCAATTACCTGGAACCAATAGCTAAGTATATGAAGCCGGTGACAGATATGTGTATATCTTTGCTTGACAAGTATTATATAGGGGTGGGCAAATGAAAGCTTTTTTGGGAAATTTAATTTCAGACAAGTGGATTCTATGGCCATTTTGGCTGCTGAATACAAATCTAATAAGTATTTTCATTTTTAATTACATCTGATATTGGTATCAGGTGATTTTTCAAAATGGCCACCAAACGCTCCCTCAAATCACATATTTCTCATGTAAATCTTTAAATATCAGTTCAAAGATGGCTTTTTATATGTCTAACCATATGATTTCATGATCAATGAGCGCAAATAGATACATTGTTTCGCTTGGGTCACTTCATTTTGGGTTAAAAAGAGGATTTTTTGGTCATTTTGAGGTAAAAATCACCCCAAAATCACCTTTACTGTGTACATAAATACAAAATGTTTATATGCAACTGTGGCTTTTAAATTAGGAAAAACAAAAATACAACAAATATGGTCAATATTGTTCAAGGATCACATGAAACTGAAAAGTTTTGACATATAGAATAGCATAATGTTAGTTACATACGGGAATATTTACAGTAGAACACTCAGTAGCAGAGCATTAAGGATATTGTTACTCTTTATTACCATCCAGATACCGAAAATGAGTTTTTTCCTGCATCTAATTATTCATTAATGTATCTGTCTTTGTGCTGCTTTGAAACAATGAAAAAACTCTTGAAAATATGAAATATCGGCGTTTATATTTTTTGGTTGCAATGTATAAGCATAAGCAACTCAAAGCTTTAATCATCTATTTAACAGCTTTTTTGAGATTAGTTAGCAATCCATATGGGGCTTAACTTCATCCCTGAACAAGATTTTATCACAAAAATTCCTAATGTCTTCCAACTACATTCGAGCTGCATTTGAGAGCTAATACAATACAATCGAAATGTGCACGAATCATTCCAGGTGGGTTCGAAGCGCATTCTGAGGTATTCTTGCTGGAATTAAGGTCAATTTGATATTACCCAACGAATGTGGCGCGAATTTTGAAAATTCTTCATTATGGCTCATTCTGCTTGATTACTTCAGATTCCAAATAAGTGTGACAGGGGGCTTTACAGTGCCTTCTGGTCTCAGTGTATTTCTTGTTGATGCTTTCATGGTGGTGGTGAGATACTCTTAAACTATGCAACTGAAACTAAGTACTATTCCAAGGTCAAGAGCTTAGAGGTTGTAAGAGGTTGATGTCACCTGACAAAGTTTAACCTGTTCTGAAGAAAAGGAAAATTATACAGCATAAAATTTGTTGGTACACATCCATGAAGGTATTTTCAGCATTGTTTTTATACCAAACTGTAATCCATGAATTCAGTATGTACATAATGGCCATTATTTATATTTATCTTAAGCTCGAAGTGTGTATTTTATGTATATGTTTGTTTTAAATAACATATTTTTAGAGATGTCACCCTAACAATATTGCCAATGTCTTGAATATGCTTATATTTGAACTCAGCAACCCTCAAAACATATAGAAAGACATATTACACATCATTTTTATGTACTTTACTGTGAAAATATGACCAAAAAGCCATTTCCCGCCTTTTTTCACAAACAATATAAAACAAACAAATAGCAGATACCAATATAAATCATTAGCTTTGGTAAAAAATATTGTCAGATTTGCGTTCAGCAGCAAAAATGGCCATGGAATCCACCTGTTTAAAAAAAAATTTGTCATTTGCCCACCCCTACGTATAATACATTATTTGAAAACTGCCAGCCCAAACAAGTTCACTGTCATTCTAATTACCTTTTTTTATAATTTCTAAAAATATAATTGATTTTATCTGACAACAGCAGGACCAGAAAAAAGACAACCATTCTCAGTCCAAATATGTGAACCATTGGTGTCATGTTGTCTCTTGGGAAATATATCAACCGTGGTTATTATTTTAATATCAATTTAAAATCACAGCACCACTGAAAATTGGTTTCTTACCTTTTAATGTGGAAAGTAACGTCTTCTAGGCATTTTTAGAAAAGTGCTCTGAAACTATTTTAAGTTGTTCTTACAATCTTGCCCCAGGCCTCTGAGAAAGTGATGAACCCTCATTTTTCAAACTCTCATTTTTCACTCCTTGTTGCATGAAAATCATATTCATTTAGAAATGGTATGCTGGTAATGGGAGTGGGCTTGAAATATGCTTCACCTTCAAGGATGCAGATATATATATATATCATGGAATTCTTTTCTAGATTTTTCTATCAATATTTGTGGAGGTTCTGGGATTCAGAAGAGCCAGATGACTATGAGTGGATATCAAGACACTTGGAAAGAAGATTACGACTGTGAGAAAAATTATATATATTTATATATATAAAGACAGCAAAAGTGCATGTTGTTTGTAAGATTGCCCTTTTTAAGGAATGCGTATTTGCTCAATTTTTTTCTAGGATATTTTTTTCAAAGTCATGTAATAATTATAAGAAAATAATAATTTGCCAACCCCATCCCTAGAATTTCCAAAATTTTGTTTGGTATACTAATTCATAATTTATAAATAAAAGATTTTTTGGTCATTTACAGATACTATGACATCCAGGAAGGCAAGGTGCCAGATGCTAGTAACTTTAAAAAATGCTTTGAAACCATGGTGATAGAGGCAAACGAAAAACACTCTGAATTGGTCGACCTCTACTCTGCGGTCAGTATGTCTGACTCGGACACTGACCTCAACACGACTGACCAGGAATTGACCCAGTGTGCCGATGACCTGAAGGTTCTGAGGGATAAACTGGAAATGATGGAAGACCCTGTTCTTAGGCAAGTTGAATTTTTCGCAAAATTATATTATTATGCTATAATACTGACACCTTTTTTGGATTATTTTAAAGGGGATATACTTTTTTAAAAGGGGTCAGTTTGAACTTGAATTAGTATGCATGGTGCAATTGCAGGAGAAAAGGCTTCAAGTGCTTGTCATTTTTTTCTCCAGTATGCTGTTATCACAGAGAAAGAGAGAGAAAAAGAGAGAGGGGAGGATTGTTGATGTGAAATAAATCACAGACATGAGAGGCAGTTCTTAGGTCCAGGCTTAATTTCATTAGATGTTCAAACAAAAAAAGTACAAGTCATGCAATTAAAACACTAAAGAATGTTAAGCATGCAGCATTTGTCATTCAAAGTAATGCACCAAGCAAAACTCTGAACAGACGAATCTCTTGTTTTAAGGGTCATAAAGGGTGAAAATGTTATGAATTGACCAATTTTGTACAAACATATTTCTGAAACTGCTTCAACAAGACCATGTCTTGTATCTTCATTTTGGTAGTGATATTGACAATTCTTGTCCATGCAGATTAAGGCTGAATAAAAAAAAAGATGTAGATCAGAAAAACATAAATTCTAATTATTAGCATACTGGGTATGTGCTTGAAGCTATTATAGCCAGTTGGGGGTATAATGAAAATAATAGAAATAACAATCCAAATTTAGCACATACGGCACTGGTCTGACAATTATCACCATTTTTAATCAAGATAGAAAATCTCACAAAGTGTCCAAGAAACATTTCAAGGATATGGCTTAACACTTAATTAACAACTTTAATAATGAGAATGCTTGCACTTCAGATTACAGGTCCTGGGAACAGTTGAAGATACAGACAAGTAGAATGCCCATTTCCTGCTGTCCCTCTACCCTAGCCATTTGACAGTTGGAGGCATGCATTGCACAGTGAAGTTTCATATAGCAAAGAAATGAATTTTCTTGGAAATTTTTTTGCTTTGTAAAGGTCTTACTTATACACTTGTTGTGTGCCTTAAATAACAACGAGATCACTGACACAACTCGGCTGCATTCTAACTGAGAAGATTGGCTGATTTCCTTGATGAAGATTGACTTTTTTATAGGACTTGACCAGTCATTATCTCATGCTCTTGACGTTAATGTTCACACCAATAATGAAGGTTTTCAGAAGTCTTTCAAGTATTTTGCCAGGTGAAGGGAGCCAGCAGGTGAGTGTGTACAGGCAAATCTTAGGCTGGCTTCAGTGACAGGGAAATACTTCAATTACCAATTTGAACTTACTTCACCAGGATCTGAAATAATTATTCATTGACAGATTTACTGCACAGGACTGATAATTAATTGGCTCTTTGTACAAAAGGATAATTGCACTCGTGGTCCACGTGTTACAAGAGGAGTGTGCTTGCCTGTGTTTTAATTGCTTCAGTGTGTTTCATGCCTCTCTTGCATGTTGGCCATCAGCTAATGGTTTTAAAGTATTCTGGTTAGTGTTTGATAATTTTCATTTACTGTGAGGTTATCTAGAACTTGAGCTTAGACTTATTTTCAGACTGGAGATATTTTGTGAAACCAACTCCTTGGTAATGTTATTTAGATCAAGATACTAGTATGTTCAATTTAATCTGCATGACGGTGTTACATATTAAAAACTCCTAGTTCACATGGCATTGTACATGCATGATTTAAAAAAAATTAATTGGCAATATGTTTTTTTTTCTTGGCAGTTTTCATTCCTTAGGACACCCAAGACCCCCCATTGTAAGGTAATTTCTACCTGCTCTTCTCCACATCATGTCAAATTATTTCTGTTACAATAATAGTAGTAAACTACTGATACTTTGCCAAAGAAATCATTGTACATGTAAAGTAACAGCAACTTAACCAATGGCATCTAATAATTTTCCATTGTAGCCTGTCTACAATTGCAAGGACCTGCTGCCAGTCCCATTTTCTTGAATCTTGTGGATTTCTTCATGCTATTATTGAAAAGCAATTATGAAGCTCCAGGTTCATTGCTGGTTAAAAAATAATGTCATGTAACAAGATCGTGTTTGTAACAGATATTATGTTTAACTGATGATGCATTGCAAATGAATTTATAGTAAATAACCTTGATTAACATCTAATAATGATCTAGTGATTATGTGGCCAGTTTAGGGCCAATTATGATTATCACCCAAACTCGTGATCATGATCATTTCTCATGTATTAATTTAGTTATTTCCCCTAGTACATGTTATACTCTTACACAATTATTGGGCTTTTGGCTGAAATTAAGCTTAAAAGACAGAACTTGGTTTAAAATTTTTATGGCCCCATTTTTCACTTACATGGAAAAGGGAAAAAAAGATATTTATTTTGCACACATATACTAGTGCTTGAAATTATTCCTTTTATACTAGCATGTTATACATTGATAAAACCACAAAAATATTCATATTACATTTCTTGCATGTTTATTGGATGTTCATTATTGTAAAATTGTTACAAAACATTGCTATATATATTTTTTGTTATATCATTGCCAATAAACTTTATTTTCTGTATGTTTCTCCACTGTTATCTCTTGACTCCTGATAAAATTGACATAAAAAAGGAATTATTAACAATAAGCTCTTTAATCTGATGAAAAACGTGATTTAAGAAACCCTGCCTAACTGCCCCACATGGTCCTGTTTATTAATAAGATGCACATGTGACAACATAATTATTTCTTCAACAAATTGTGCTTGAGAAGCCAAACAATCTCGAGACCAAAACGCAATCCACTAATTAAATCTCACCACAAACAAATCGCTACCCATTTACTTCTAGAGCATATGTTGCCTGAAAGAAAACTTGGCATGACGTCAAGCTCCTCTGGTTGTAATTAACTTGAAATTACAAATAAAATTTAAAGAATATAATAAAAGTGTCTTGCCCACAATGTAGTAGGCTTTGCCCACTGAAAGGTAGATTTATTTGAGTGGCTTTATCATGGGATTTCCANTTTTTCAATTTCATGCTTGTCAGCATGGCCATGCATGAAATGGGATGAGAAGTAAAGAGAACCCAGTACAAGTTGAAAATCACCTGATTGCTATACTTGAAATTTCAAAGTCTTGAGTCCATTTGGAAATGAATGGAATCTTGGCAACTGCCTAGCAATAAACACACAGATAAAAGGATTCTGTCTAAAGTTCCAAACCCAGACACAGACTTAAATACAATTTTCACCAATGTTTTCCAGCAATTGTGCTCCTCTGTAGGAGTGGCTAAGAATTAAGGCTGCCCAATAGGGAAAATATCACAAATATCCCACCTAGGAAATTCTCCGTCCACTCTACACACGTATTCCTTCTCTACTTCTCTGTTGGCCACCAGCTGGGACACTGTGTTGGTCATTGTGTGATTCTTGGCAAAGATGACCAGTCCAGAGGTGAGCCGATCTAACCGATATGTTGCTGAAATGATAAAATAAATAATGATCACCAGAATACATGTGTGTAGAATAGTGACTTCTGGTGGCTGTTCAAAAAGTTCAAAGCCTCGCCCATAAAGGAGGGATACAGCTAAACATGTCTGGAGCAGTAATAAACACACTACACACTACAATTTCCTACAAAACACACATCACTAATGTAGATTTCTGTCTTAATTTCCACAATAAAATGACAAATAGATATATGATATCAAAATTGTGGGTTTTTCCCATACTTATAAACCTTGCTTAATCCTAAGTTCACATAAAAGGATTCAATAATACTAGACTAAGTCTTATGAAGTGATACAACAACAGTTTGACATTGGAGCAAATATCACTGCTATTCAACAGAAAAATGATGATTGCCCCACAGGGCTGGTCACTTAACAATAGATATCTGGCTGCCAGACCTGTTGAAGATTGGTGGTGTCAATCCCAACCTCTGCTTGTTGCTTTTAACTTTATTTATTACTTCTCAAGTCCAGTATTAGATTTACTTCTCCCTCATGAGTTATGTGACATCACACTTCTGGATCAATCAGAACATTTGCTCTTACTCCGGAGTTGTGTGTATCCATATTCCTTTCCCAGAATGTAGAACAAAGAGTTGTGTCTGTACTGGCCACAGGGATGGATGGGGATGGAACTGGGTTTATTGACAGCCACAAAGTCCCCCGTCTCAGCCACAATCTGAATGGGGTCTGCGCATACTGGTTTCTCATGCCTAAATAAAAATTTATTCTAGGCTAGCCACAATTAAATGACATTTAAACATGTGCATTTACTGTATTGTCTTATGCTATTTATTCAGGGTTGTCAACATTACATTACTTGAAATAAATAGATTTTGTTATCAACAAACATGTTCTCAACAATAGGTAGTCTAAGCTACCATGACCATAATTTAATTTCATTTTAAATTAAACATATTTTTATGTATTTATTTATTACACTTTTCACTGTTATAATATACCATTACAAACTGCAGTCTTATACTTAAAACAGTGCATGGTTTTAGAACAAAGTCAGTGTGCAGCAGTGTCTGTGCATGATGAGAAGTTCAGAAGTATTACTTTTTGTAAACAGAGATAGAAACTCTGCACACTGATTGAAAGAAAATAGTCCACAGTTCAAATGTGGAAATCAACGGTGAGTGTAAGTCTTGAGCACAGTCAGCACAAAGTAGTAAATTATACTGATGTGCCCTTTATTTGACTTTCCTTCCCAGGTTTCAAGCCATTGTTTCTTTAAGGGAGCTGAAACAGTTACTTACCTGTGCAAGGTGTGATTAAGTCTGTCATTTGGTTTGAATACATAGTCCACACTGGCTGGTTTGTCATTGACACACAACTTGCCACTCTCAATTGCCTTCAACTAAAAATAATTAAATAAATGAATAAATAAAGTTTTCATTTATAAACTTCTTCAAACAAACCACCTTTCCAACATCCATGCCAGAGTATTTGTTTTAGCTTAGAAGTAAGTAGAAACTTTGATCAAATCAACAAACAAGGTGACAATCAATAAAACTGACTTTCTTAAGCCATGTTTAATCACATCAGGTCATGAGCAAAAAGCATTAAATGCCACCCAATAACTTATTTTTCACCTTTTTTAAAGACAGTGAAACTGTAAGTTGTACAAATACCTGACATTAGCCTATCATCAATATCGCAAACTAAAGTTAAGGTTACTTATGACAATTCATGTAAACTGACCACATCATCATTACTATAGTGGTTGAATTCTTCAGCGAATACATCCACAAGTCTTCTTCCATACCATCTCTCTTTGCTCCAGGTGTTAAAGGTGTAGTAGTATGGATACAACTTACGTAAGCCTATACAAAATAAAGTATTGCAATAATACTAATACTAATAAGTGCTATACAATAATACTAATAATGCCTATTAACTTCAAGCACAACACTGAAACTAAGATTTTTTACATTCAGCATTTAAGTTACTGACCAAAACTATTTTCTGTATCCAATAAAGTTTTCAAAATTTTTGGAAGCAATTTTTTAGGGGTTACTATCAAAATATTTACAGTATATGGGAAGCACATTAAATAGGTTTTGTGGCTTCGATTCAATGTGCATTTAAAATGTTATAAAATATACAAGAAAATCATTAGATCATGACCTTTTTTACAGGACTGCTAGCCCAGGTTCCTCAACTTAAAAAACCTAAATCTAAATCTAAAAATCTTAAATGCTGTCTTGATATCCATAGACATGTACAAGTAATATTACCAGTTCCTTATCAATCATTGTACCATATTGCATTACAAAAACAACACTGCTGCATCATTAAAATTTTATTCTCATCTTTACCATTCTCAAAATAATATTCAGTTTCAGCCAGAGTAGTGTCCGTAAAGCAAGTTTGTTCTTTGGGTGGTTTATTTTTCTTCTTCTCTCTCTCTTTCTCCTTATATTTTTCTCGTCTTAATTTCTGAAATAACAAATTATATTACAACCTTATTACTGATAAAATCAGAAAGTAAATGGACATATCATGAATGAACAAAATCCTTTCAAATGATCAGTGTTTAAAATTGGTACTACCTCCTTCTTTATCAAAATGTTACTATTAGTGATTTATTTTAACTATAAAGACATTTTGTAGGTATATCACAATCCGCTAGGGGCACTTCAGTAGTAACTATCCAGGGTCAGTGAAGAGCAAAACCGAGACCGACCTGCTAACAGCTCACCTATGACATCCCTTTTTTTTAAATATCTCTTTTAGCTCCATGTAAATAAACTAATACAAGCCATTTACTAAATAAGCTATAAATCAAAGAGTAAATTCCAGTCATGTGATTTTCCCATGTTGAAGTCTTAGAGAAATTTGATTTGAGGACGTTTTAAAGTTTTGCCTCAACAAAATGTTTAAAATTTCAGATAAGTACTGCATGGAAGTTTTTGTAATTCATGCCATGTAAATTTAATGATACTTGCAATATTATGTCGAAAAATCATGAAAATTTAACCATGCGAAGTATAGTTTATTTGATGCGCAATATTTATAGTACATGATCTGCACGGAAGCCATCCCAGCCATGTGCTTGTGCGGTCGCCAATTTGGGTTTGTTTCCTGGTCATTAGATTAACATACAGCCCTAATTGCCCTAATTGGTCACAAACAATTTGAGCTGCAGCTACAGCTGAGTGATCACTGGTCAGTAGTCACAGGTTTTTAGCTGAAGAGTGTGGACACTTTTGGTAAATTTTTGCAGTTAAAAAACTTCAATATCTTTGTTGCTTGTAGTAATGTTTTAAAATTTCCAAAAGAATTCATCTGTTTTTTGTATTACCTTTCAGAAGATATAGGTATAATAATTTTCTGATCAGTTTGAAAAATTTTCTGATATATACCTACATTTTGTATGGAGATTGGAGAGATATTAAGATGTCAAAATATTATAAAATGTACAAACCAAAGTTAAAACTTACAACTGTAGTTTGTAAGCTTGATTTCTTCCTAACAATATTTTTTTACCTTACCTTTTTCATGGCTTTTTTGGACAGGGGTTTTGCATCTGTTACAGGAGGCATTTCACCGGGCGACTCACGTGGAGCCGAGGTTGTTGACTGCATCTTGTCTTCGGGAGAATCGACTAGACTTGCTGCAATTTTTCTGGCTTCTTCCATACCCTTGCGATTAATTTCTGGTAAGAAAGATCGTGAAAAGCTGATTAATTTTTTAATAAATCGTGAGCCAAACATTTAAACACTTGCATTCGATATAATAAAATTCCGTTTCCAAAATGCGAGCCCAGCTAGGTTCCAGCTTGTATTGCATGCGGATCCTAATTTCTATTCTTCTTTTACTAAAGAGCTCCAGTTCACGACATAAAGTACCTATTGACGGTCAAACATGTGGAGGTTGTAAAAAAAGCATGAACTGTTTGCAAATTGCCTCTTGAATTAACGCTGTTGTATACATATTGACAATGTTTTGTCCCGAGGTACCTCAAATCGGTTTGGATATGACTTGTTGAATATTTTGGTAGCCTATTAACACCTACGAGTTGTCAAAAGATGGGAGAATTTTTAGTTCACCATGTAAGATTGTTTGATTTTGTGCCAAAAGCCATTCACTGTTTGGCAAGTGACGAAGACACACAAAGACTAGCGTTGTCCAGGTAAGTCATTATGAGATTGAAGTCACCAAGACGAATTTTAAAAACAGCCTTAGATTCATTGGCAAAAAAACTGAAGTTTAACACTTCCTTCTATACATTCAATGTTTTGCAATACTATACAGTAGTATTTGCATCTGTATATTGTAGCATCACTGTTAGGCTAAGTGCAAACTAAATCAAGTAAATGGTGTTCATAAGGCTGAAAAATATATATGCTCTGGATTGGGTGCTGATGTACACACATTTCCCCTTTCCTCACATCTCTACATGCAACAGCAGTATAAAAAATCTGCAAATTTTGTGCAAAAAAGAGCTGATGTTTTCAAAAAACAATTAATTTTTAATTTACTCTACAGAAAAAATGAAAATATTTTCACCATAAGAATGCTGTTTTATTTTTTCTCAAGCCCAACAGTTGTCATATAAAGCTTATTAACTTTTCTTGAGTACCAATAATCATTTGGACTGTAGGATTCCAATAGCATCATCAAATGTTCTCTTAAAGAATATACAAATTGAAATTCAACATGAACCCTGAAATGTGTTCACTGTCTCATTCTTATATTCGTATTGGTATAGAAGTATAGAAATGAATAGAAGTTAAGATTTGTTAATCTGATTAAAAAATTGATGTAATTTACAAAATTTAAATGATTTTTTCTCTCTTAGATCAGATGGTTCAGTAGAAATCTGGAGTGTCAAAGACAACTGGTTCCAGGAAAAGGTATGTATTTCTCTCCTTATAAACATGGTTGACTTGCACTTGCCCACTGACACCCCCCCCACACACACACCTTAATAAAACAAAACCTTAACGAAACTCATTTTTTAAATTTTCTTATGCAGTATATTCTTGTCATTGTTACACATTGTCAAGTGTTATGTTAAGTGGTGCTTATGCATTTAATTGGTTGATACCAGTAATACTTGCCATACATCAAAATCTTATAATTGGGCAAAATCAAACAAAACCTGTAATTCCACTGTATTTAAAGGGATAATAACTCTTCGTTTTGGCCAAAAAATGAATTTTCCTGGAGTAAACAACAATTTTCCCATACTTACCAATGGTTAATGAATCCATTTTTACATTCAAAGTTAGTCCCTGGTTTTTTTTCTAAACAGTTTGGTTTTTTGTTAAAATTTCTTAAGAGATTATAATAGAGTTTAGCCATCAATGGAGGTCAATCAAGCTCAGATATCAGAATTATAGCTATAACTGCCTTTTTTGTGGTGAAACAGAATATATTTTATTTCTATGAGTTGTTCACAATGTTTTTATTGTGAAATATAGATCTCATACGAAGAGTTATTATCCCTTTAACATTTTTAACAAAGATGCTTGATAAAATGATGAACTTATAGGTACATGTTATATTGTTATTTCTCTGTTTCAATATATGTCTCATTGCCACAGATAATACCTGGTCAAGATGACCGGTCAGTGGAGGCCTTGGTGTGGTGTCAACAGAGGCTGTTCAGTGGTGGACTTCAGGGAGACATCACTGAGTATGACCTGATGCAGTTATCTCACAAGGTAAAGCAGCCCTCAGACAGGGTAGATCTTATGAGGGTCGGTTTATGTCAATTTTGGCTTTGTACCCCATCATTAGTTTTATTATAAAGATATTAGGATATTTATATTTAGGCACTGAGATTATGAATTTCCTAACTATGTTTATTTGCACCTCACTGGTGTGTACATCAGACAATCTGACATGTTTGGATGGGGACTTAAATAAATTGGCTGATTTGATATGGAAAGTGTTTATCTTTCTAAAGAGTAAATTTTGTAAAATATACTTATTTACTGTGAAATTGATCTTATAAATATCTCTTTTTAAGAACTTTAACTAGGAAGAATTATTTTTAAGTAATTTTGTATTATGCTTCATATAGGTTATAAAGACAGTAAAACACTCAATAGCAAATATACAGAATGACATGAAAAAATAGATTCTAGTAAATAGAAGATTTAATGAATGTAGCAAAATAAAAAATGAACAACTCTTAAAACTTTTTGGATACTTTGTACGTGAATGTTTTCCAAAAACCAAGACTGGGTGTAATTTTAATAATTAAAATACATGTGGAAATGCTTTACAAGAGGTACAGTTCTGTGTACATTTTTAAAAATCTTGTTTCAGGGTACACATCCATCTAATGCAGGGGCAGTGTGGTGCCTGGTTGCCAACAGTAAACAAACACATATAGCTGTGAGTAATGAAGAAATTATGGCATACAAATTCAGTTTGAATTGAAATTAAAAGAATGAGATATGGTAAACAGAGAAGACAGTCAGGAATGTTTCTTTTTTTTTTCATATCTCAGTTAGATCTTGATTGTCGTCAGTTATGCTTAAAATACTTTTTGACTTGTAATAATTGAATATTTTATGAGAAAAAATCAATTAAAAAAATCAGTGGCCCAAGCTGTCTGCCTCTATAAACTCAAAATGTAAGGCTCGTTCAGTTTCAAAAATTTCTTAGAATAACCCTAGAATTTATAACACAAATACTTTGTGAAAGGACAAGTAAGACGTTTGATTTTTAAAATCATTTTTCAGGCGGGGACAGAGGAGGGCTGTATAGTCATATTTGAACTCACAGAGGAGGGGCTGATATATGATAAAGCATTAGACAGACAAGAAGGTAAAAACCTTTTGTACTCTTCCTTAAAGTTTATAAATTATTTGATTATGTTGAGGTTTGTGGTAAATATAGATCAGAATTTAAATACTTTATTGAATAAGTGCTTTGATGACACTAACATTATTCAGAATAGTTGTATAAATAAATTAAGGGGTGGTAATATAACCCTTTATTTAACTTCACCCCCATAAACTAGTTACAATAAATTTCATATTCTATCAGGTCGTATCCTGTCCCTGGCGTGGCATGAGGGTGGGGAGATGATGGTCAGTGGTGGTATAGATAACATCAGGATATGGAGTGTCCAGTCTGGCCATGCTGTCCAGAGACTGACCCTTGGAAGACAGGACAGAAATAAAGACACCATTGTGTGGAGCATTGCAGTGACACAGTACGTCATGTTAAGCTTCATAGTTTGATTCTGGCCATGAGCACACATTACAGTTTCGTTGGAGATGTAAAATATGTAAAATATTATATGAAATATTGCTAATGGAGACAAAGAGTGTGTTTTTGTGCACATACATGGGTGTAACTGTGTCTGTGCCCCATGCTAAGAAAGTAAATCCTTACATGTAGATACAAAAAATATGAAATCAGTCTTTTGTTTGATGTACAGCTTAGCTTGCCATGCTGCCATCCATGTGAGCAGAACACCTATGTCTAATAGATAACAGATAAACTTGAATAATTTCAAAAGTTTTTATGAGCTAGTTGTAAAAGCTCTCTGGCTTAATATTTGCTATCTGTTACTTCAGGGATTTTACCATCATAAGTGGAGATTCCAGAGGGAAGACCACATTCTGGAATGGCAAACAAGGCACTGCTTTGAAGAGTTACCAGAGTCATAAGGCTGATGTGCTCTCAGTCTGTGCTAGTCAGGTGTTGTCCTCACCCACAGATGCACATGCACACACAGACACACACACATTCACACACACACACACACACACACACACACACACACATATGAACACACATTTAATTAAATTAAATTTAATTCTCAAAACCCTAGTGTATCAAATTGCCAGTAGACTAAAAACTTTTTAGCACATACTGCAACCGTGCTATCTCTTCCAGGACGGTACGTCAGTGTTTGCCAGTGGGGTGGACCCTGCTCTCGCACAGTTTGAGTACACAGCTGCACAGGCCAATAGCGACTGGAAGATGTGGGTGAGGTCAAGCGTACGCAATCAGCACACACATGACGTGCGTGCAGTCACAATAGCTGGAGATAGTGTTATATCAGGAGGTTTGTGACAACGTGTGATTTCTGATGTTTCATAATGGAGTCATGGAGGGAGGTTTATGTGTCCTATTTCTTTTCCTGTTTTGGTAGTTTAGAATGAGAGAATGTTTTGGTTTAAAAAACCTGTGATTTTTAAATGTACACAATCAAATAATCTGAATGTCCAGTAGTCAAAAAGGCAGGTATCTGTCTCTTATTATTTTTATTTATTTATTAATTTATTAATTTATTTATTTATTTTAAAAATTGAATTTGTAGCATGTTTTGAAAACCATGGTTTGGAAGTGATAGGGTTTATAGAGGGGAAATTATATCAATTTTTGCTCAATGTCATTTAATATCAGCATTTAATATGCATATTTTTTTCTCTTTAGAGACTAAAGGAATTGAATATTGACTTGATTTTAAGTATCTTTAAATATACAGCATTTTAACTAGATACACATCGTTTTCAGATGATGATTCTGATTCTGGACCTAAAGATGTTGTGGTCTTTGTGAGACGTTGCCCTCACTGTCGACTTCCTATGGAGAAGAACGGAGGATGTCCTCATATGATTTGTCGCTGTGGGAAAGACTTCTGCTGGCAATGTCTGGCCACAAAATGCATCTGTAATAAAGGCAATACCGCTGCCACAAAGGAAGTAAGTGAAAAAAAGATGAAAGTGGTCTTTTTCAGTGTTTGATGCCTTTTTGTAGCAAATGCATTCATGAAGTACATTTAAAGTGGTCGGGATAAGAACATATAAAATGGAGAGATAGAGAGAAAGAGATTGGTATAAATGCACAATAAAAATAAATAAATGAATGAACTGCTGCAACAAGTTCTGAAATGATGTTTATAATTTAATTTATTTACCCTTTAAAGGAAATTAATTAAAAACTTTAATTGCTTTTTTAGGCAATTATTCTGAGGTACATTGTGCCACCCGTTCAGTTTGTCAACAACCTCAGCAAGGAAAGGCTATATAGGTCTTCAGTGGAACACAGGCGAGCAGCCCGGGAATATCATGGGTCAGGCATTGCTAAGAAAATCAAGACTATGCTGTACAGAAGAAAGGTAAGCTAATTTCAATCGAAAACAAAACTGCAACTGTTGAAAGGAAATTTTTAACTCGTCTGCCTTGTAAAAATGAACATTGAGTTTCTTTACTGAAAATCAGATATTACAAATATGAAAGTGCCAATTCTGTTGCTGATTTCATTTATTTATTTAATCATTCATTTTGTTTATTTATTTATTATACCATATTATATATTTTTTTTAATTTATTTTTTTGTGTTGCAGCTTGGGAAATTAGACTTTCCCGTAATTGCAGAGCAACTCCAGAAGCGTATGGAAAAACTTGAGCAGATGAAGAAATTTTTAGAGTCAGCAGCTGATTTCAATGCAGAGGTAAATACATTTCAAAAGAGGACTTTTTACCATGAAACCTTAGTGAACCTAGATCAAATTTCGCTTAGAACATGACTTAGTAATTAAGCATTTTACCATCATAACATAGGAGGTAGCGAAAAAAATTATCCCTATCGTATCATTTTGGTTGTCAATATAATTGCTGTATTTTATATTGCAGCTTCACCACTTGGCAGAGCACACTGCCCTCTATCTACAGGATGAACAAGTAGCGACAGCAGTTAAGCCGATCTTTAAGCGCATTGATTTCATCTCCTGGAGCATAAATGAGGTGAGTTGTTTTCACTCCTGTAGCCGAGTTCATGACTGAATTAATTCACTTTGGTCAGATAAAGTCCTGATATGGTCATTAGATAACCACCTTGCTTGATTTTTTCATTGTCTGTTTGCAAAATGGATTATCTTGGGCAATTGGGAAAAGTTTGTGAATGCGAATATGAATGAGGGCTTGCTGAATTTTATTTTATTTTTTGTTTGTTTTTTGTTAAGTAAGTGGTATTTTTAAAAGAATCATACTTTGACCATAGTTCCTCTAAAAAAATCCAAAAATTAATATAACATACGTTCTTTTAATTCACATTCTTAAAAGATAAAGTGTTCATTTTCTTCCGAAAGACTGGATAAATAATCTTACTGTAAATTACTTACAGTTGCAAGCAGTTGCTTTCTCTGAGTGCCATCAAACATTTGCAAATGAAATCAATTTTGGTATAATTTTCTCTTTTAGATTTTCAACGATGAAAGGTTCTCAAACATGGACATCATCATGACAAAACTGAGCAAGTTGATGGCCATTGGAAAGACCTGTGTACAATCCTTGGCTTCTGTGCTAAGACAAAGTGGGAAACAGGTGTAAAGTGTTGAAAGGAAAAGAGTTTTTCTGTGAAGATGGACAACTATTTTACTGTCTTCCATAATGATGGGTGTAGGTTATTGTGTAGCTTTTGACTATCATACAGACAATTCCAGACTGTATTATTTGGGGACAAAAATCAAGAGACCCCTTGAACCATCAAGTGAAACCTTATCGTTCATATTTGTTTGACCAATTTCAAGTAGATCAATCATGTAAAGCGAAAATATTGTATCATGAAAACCCAATGTAATTGCAATATATCACAGATACAAATGCAGCTTTTTGTTTGACAAAATGCAAAGGTGGTGAACTAAAACTAAAATTCAGGTTTACCTTTTATTGTTACTTGTATGTATATAATTGATTTTTAAGATCCCTTCTAATATTTTTGTGTATATAGAATTGAAATCAATATTTAATTAGATAATTAAAGAATGTGTGAACATGAAAACAAAATAGTTGTTGTAATGTTTACAAAATTACTATCTTTGAATGTACTTATTTTACATTTTTGATGTAATAAATTTATTTACATGTACATATTGGAATCTGCATTTGCCATTTGAAGCGGAGTCCAAAGATCCCAGGTTTCATTCCAAGCCCGTTCGGGAAACCAACAATAAAATAACCTTCTGCAAAAACAAAGAAAATTATTTCATTTATTATGAAAGGATTTTTCAAACATCAAGAATGGAAGATTACTGAGTATAGCTCATTAAATAAGACTTCTAACTTGGACCTAAATAGGAAATTCTCTTATTATGTCCATGCTTCTAATGAACGGATTGTTGTCGAAATGCAAGAGACAGTTATTCTGGTTATTCAAGAAAACGTGCAGCTGGCATTAAATTTTCTCAATACGTGCGACCCCTTAAAAGAAATTTATTGTTGGCTCATTCTCCTTCCCCGATAAAGATGGGGAAAAAGACCAGATTGTGTGCACAAAGAGATTTTTTGTTTGTTTATTTGCTAATCGGGGTTTGATAAGTGGTGTTTTTCCATTATGCGAAAGAAAAAAACAGATGACTATATTATCTTGATTAGAGATAGATGGTCACGTTTATTCAAGTTTGAGGTGGACCACTTTTAAATTGGTTCCAAAAGAATTCGATTGCAATCAACCCAATGTGTGCGCAGCTTGCCACCCAAACAATAAACATACTGGGTTCTCTGAAATACATATGCTAAACTCAATTTGTAATAATGGGAATTGATTAGCAATCTCGGTTTTGCTACAGAATTTTCTTGAGTTTTTTTTTTTTTTTTGATCGGATGTTATCCAAATGAACGTTGTGTGACAACGCATAGGCCCATAAAATCATCTTGTGTCGATAGCTATGAAATTGCACTTCAAGTCTAATAATGAAAAAGTTTTTTAGATTCAGCCAGATAGCACTCGTTGACACGACAGTGTCTATATCGTAGAATGGTATCCCGTTTTTGTATAAAAAGAAAGCTGTCAAACATAAGTGCAAAGACTTGACCGATTTGTCGACTCGACGCAGAATCATGAAAACCAAGTTGGGCGTCGCTCTTCTGTTTGGTGAGTGCAGCATCAGCCCCGGCAGTTGTCTTGGCAAAAGCGACATATCATAAGATTTTTATGTTATCAAAAAATTTGTAATTTTTTTATACATTAGAAATCTTACATACGTTAAAACAAATTTATATTTCTATTGCCTTTAGTCAACTCATGAGGCAATTGTACAATTTTTACCAATGTGAAAGTCATTTTTCACCAATGCCATCATTTTTAACAAGTTTGATCTGCCAGAGTAAAAATTGTGTTGTATACACGTGGGTATTGTTCAACCCTGCTCAGTATTCCGCCCAATTATGTAAGTAACACCTTTATTCTGGGAGATAATATGTGCCCCCCCCCTCCCCCCATCTCCTCAATGTGAAAATATATACTAGCGGATCCAGACAAAACTAAGTAACGGTTCTAACTGTGGGCCCAAATATTTTAGGATAAAATTTTCCTTTTCGGCTGTTTTGTTTTTGCTGAGCAAATGTAAATACTCCAGTGATATATATATATATATATATATATATATATATATATATATATATATATATATATATATATGTTTATTTATTTTTCCTACCTAATTCCTTGATAGCACAGAGCGTTCACATAATGACCAACGTGCAGAATAGTATACATACAGCCCTACAGTTATACTGATTTCTTTAATTTTTCTCTTTCGTAAATGTAGGTATATCACAATCCGCTAGGGGCGCTACAGTAGTAACTATCCAGGGGCAGTGAAGTGCAAAACTGAGACTGACCTGCTAACAGCTCACCTATGACATCCCTTTTCTTTTAATATCTCTTTTAACTCCATGTAAATAAACTTATACGAGCCATTTACTAGATAAGCTGTAAAATCAAAGAGTAAATTCCGGTCATGTGATTTTCCAGTCTTGCAGTCTTAGAGAAATTTGATTTGAGGACGTTTTAAAGTTTTGCCTCGACAAAATGTTTAAAATTTCAGATAAGTACTGCATGGCAGTTTTTGTAAGTAAATGCCAAGTAAATTTAATATTATTTGCAACATTGTCGAAAAATCATGAAAATGTAACAATGCGAAGTATAGTTTATTTGATGCGCAATATTTATACTACATGATCTGCACGGGAGCCATCCCAGCCATGTGCTTGTGCGGTCGCCAATTTAGGTTTGTTTCTGGGTCATTAGATGAACATACAGCCCTAATTGCCCTAATTGGTCACAAGCAATTTGAGCTGCAGCTACAGCTGAGTGATCACCAATGGTCAGTAGTCACAGGTTTTTAGCTGAAGAGTGTGGACACTTTTGTTGAATTTTTGCAGTTAAAAAACTTCAATATCTTTGTTGCTTGTAGGAATATTTTAAAAATTCCAAAAGAATTCATCTGTTTTTTTGTATTACCTTTCAGAAGATATAAGTATAAAAATTTTCTGATCAGTTTGAAAAATTTTCTGATATACCTAGTAAATGCTATAAACCAGATACTGGATTCAATATGATCAAACTGTCAAAATAAAACTCAACTTTGGTCTTAAAGTCTAGCCTTATTATCAGGCTTAAGTTCCATGCCCAGCAGCAAACATTACAGATATGATCATAATTTATATGGCAAAGCCGGCTAAGTTACACAGTGTCAGTATGTAGTGGTCAGTGTGCACAAACGTAAACAGCTTGACCTCACCCTTGTAAAAGACGGGTAACAGTTTCCACGTACAAAAAAAGCAATACAGGATGAATTAACAACATATTTACCTAGTGTTCTAAGTCTGTTTTCTTTTTTAAATCATGTCGTTGTATATTGTTGCCCTAAAGTAGTAATGAAATTAGGAATGTCCCTTTTCCTCAGGTGACAGCTTCAATTTTATGCAAAGCTAGTCCCTTTTTACTAAAAAAATTTTCACATACTGCAAGAAATCATATCAAGGTGCATATTTTTAATAGATACTTTCATATTATAAAATATCATTAAAAGTTATTATTTCATGTAAAAATTTTTTCCAATTTGTGGTTTTATTTGTTTAATTGGAAAACATTTTTTTTTTATAAAACTAATACAAGTATTACACTTAACGCTGCTTTACTGCCCCAATAAAGCCAGTTAAAAATAGAACGTAGGTCTTACACAAGCAGTAGAAAGTTGGATCATCGAACAGTATGAATATGAAGTTGGAACATACATCTGTCAGTAGTCCAAAACAGAAAACAAGGAGAAGAAACGAAGAAAAGGGGAGAATATTTATACAGGTACTGTTGTTGGCGTGACATAAACATGTAATTTTAAGGTAGAAATATTATAGTGTATAAAACTATAAACATAAAAAAAAACTCTCGTTGCTCTTTGCATTTGCATTGTATGATTTTGAAGCAAATGCTGAATTAGAACAAGCTTAAATGTTAATCAAAGGATTCGAGAAAAATATATATTGATTATGCTGCCTATTGCTATTTTTGCTGTTGGGAAATGTATTTTGCATGTGACATTTTCTCTAATTGTAATTGGAATTTATAAACATCCTTGCATATCTAGATCTACAGGCACTTAGAATGTAAATATTATTATCATTGTCTTGTGTTTTTATTCAGATAGCAAAGACAAAGCCTCAAATATGGTTTGGAAAGGCTGGAAACGTAACGTCCACTCGGGCAACACCCTGAGAGCCTCAAACTCTCACTACCAACGCTGCTACGCGGCCGAAGCATCCCTGCTAAAACACTCCACTGCCAAGGGCGTTGGAGATGACATTGAAGATGGGGGTCTTCAGACAGGTGGCGTTACCTACTCCCTCAACAAGAAGGGCCGATGGAAACTCCCAAAGCTCTTAAAGCAAAGTATACATGAGGGTGAATGGAAAAATGAAGACTGCGAGGTTTCTTTGTTTGAGCACCACAAAATCAAACAACACGCTGACTGTATTAGTTATTGCAGCTCCGGAAGAAATGGGAGCGGTATCGAGATCAAACCACAGGGACACACATACTTCGATGCAGCCAGCGTGCTTGTTAAGTCTGGTTATGGTAAAAGAAGCCAGAAGAAAAGGGAAAAGCGGCTGGCAAAAATGAGGAAAAAGTATGGAGTAGATTATGATGAAGAGGGTACTGGAGAGGAAGTTGTGGACACTATGCAGCATGCTGTCAGCTATGAAATATACTACCCTTGTCCTAAGACCAGCTCCATCACACATAATAAGAAGTATATTAGAGATCAAGATGTATCAAGTTATGAGGGTAAGGCTTTACGATTAATGGGTATTCTTAATTTTTATTATTTTGCCCTTTTAATTTTTAAAATTTTGTTGGAAAGCACATTTTTGGTTGAGAAGTTGAAATATGTTTACAAAAATAATGATTTTAGTGAAGGCAAAATGTTGTATTATATTAATGAAAAACATACAGTAAATAATTACTTTTAAAAAATTATTTTCACAAGTTTGCCCACACTTGCAGAGTTAACTTTAATCATCATTACTTCTTAATATCCTCATTTTAAGTATTCTGCATTACGTATAATTTTCAGATGCAGAACACAACAACACTGGCAGTTCAAAAATTTCAAAGAAAGGAGCAACAAAGCAAAGAGGGAAGCTGAGATGGAGCAGCCAGGTTGCTGAATATGAGGAGCAGTTTGACAGCTTTTACAGCAGTGAAGATGAAGTGGAACTTGAGGACACCAATAGGGAGGATGAGCACCACTTCACTTTGGACTGGGACAGCGTAGAAAGATCTTACACTGTCCTCAGCGACTTAGTTGACAAAGCTGTAGAGGCAAAAGGGAGCTACAACAGTGGATTGTTTCAGGGAGAGGCTCAAGAAAAATCTCCAGCCTCTCTTCCCGTCTCTCAAGACAGTTCCAAGGACAATAAAGTCTTCTTCCCAGCTGATGAATACTATGAGTTTAGACCAAAGGAGGAAATTATCAAAAAAGATATAAATAAGGAGAAAAATGGGGAAAAGCCATCAGCCAAATTGACAAAGCAGTCATCTAAACGTCATCCCTGTGTCTCCATCCCCGTCATAATTGACACGAC